CTTTTTTTTTTGACGTGTTCTTTCCATTTTAGCTTGATGTCTAGATTCATGCTCAGATACTTTGCTGTATTGGCATATTGGCTTATAGTAGTGCCATTTAATACTATTGGTGTTTTATTTATTTATTTTTTGTTGGTGAAATCTATATAGGTATATTGGTTTAGTCTCATTGAGTTTGATACGCCATTTCTTGGCCTATGCATTAACCTTATTGAGTGCCTCTTGCACTTTTACTTTTGCTTCAATTTGCATCAGCAAACGTAGCAGTTGTTAGGATTTTGCTTAATACTGGTATAATATAATAGGTGTACAGCAGATAAAATAATGGACTTCAAATACTGCCTTGGGTTTCTCCAGCACTTATTGTTCTTACTTCAGAAAGTAACAGTCTTCAAATTTTATTCTTAACAATCTTTCACTAATATACGATTTTAGTCATTGACTATCTTCTGTAGGTAAAAGTAAATCCAGTTTGTTTCTAGACCATCATGCCAGCTTTTGTCAAAAGCCTGGGCATCATCCAGAAAAACTGCCGAACATACTTGTTTTTCTACTGGAGCTTTTTCTGTTTGATCAGTGATTATGTGGACCTGATCTAGTAATTCGTGATTATTTCTAAACCCAAATTGATGTAGAGGGATAATAGATTTTTGTTCTATTATAGGTTTTAATCTTTTTAATAAGAGTTTTTTAAACAATTGTAAAATCAGTAGCAGCAACGATATTGGCTGATACGATGTTACCTCATTTGATGGTTTCCCAGCTTTTGCTATTATAGTTATTTGCGCTACCTTCCAGCATCTTCGGAAGTATTTAGGTCTAATCGACGTATTCAATAGATTTTAATACCTTAACTATTGCTTTTCTAAGCAACTTTTTTAAGATTTCTCCTGTTATGAGGTCATACCCCAGTGCCTTTTTTTGGATTGATGTTTTTAGTATTTCAGTTTTAGATTCTTTAGGTGTTAGTAATTGCATTGTCTCTTTAATATTTTTATCCATTGTCGGAAAGTTGTCAAACTCAGATTACACATCATGTGTAAAAGTATTTTCCAAATGATCAACAAATATGTCCACTTTTTCTTGGTTACTTTTAGCCCATGTACCATCAGATTTTTTAATGGGTGGATTTTGTGTTATTACCCTCTTAAATTTGCTCGTGGCTCTCCATAATGAGTAATCATTTAACCTGGTTTTATTCACAATTCTTCTGAATTACTCCCATTTTCTGCTCAGTCACCTTTTTCGGCAACCATAATTCTTATCTCAGTTGGGTAATTATTACTTTCCTTCCTTCTTTTGATTGGTTTAGTATTCACCCACACTGCCTGCTGTATATCTATGTTTAATCTATCTGCTTCTTGGTCAAGCTCTTTAATTTTTTTCAAGCTAACGTTTAGTTCTATTTTGTTTTCTAAATCCTCTGTTTAAAGCTTATCCAATCCGTTGTCTTGTTAGACAATTTTGGATTCTCTTCTTTCATAATTATTTTATCAATTACTGTCAATATTACTGAGTGGTGATCTGATACTATGTCTAGTCCCTCTTCTGTTTTAATATAATTTTGTGGAGTTTTTCTAGCAATATAGAAATCTAATAGGAGTGCTATCTTATTTGTATATGTAAGTCAATACGTTAGCTTGTTAGTCAAATAAAAGTTACAGTTATGTTCTTTAACTGCAGAATATAGCGCACGCCGCCTGGGGCCGATCAACCTGGAGCCCCAGTAGGTGCGCTTTGCTTTAAAACCTCCGCCGAAGATAAATTTTTCGCCAAGGCTTTGTAATAGTTCTGTGTAATCTTCTTTTTTCAAATTATATGTTGGTGGAAAATATATTGCTGCAATTTTAATATTATTTGATGTACAATATATTAACAGGTATTACCCGCATTTTTTCTATATTTATTGAAGTGTCTTCATGGTGTTTAATTTTCTTTTATAATTACTGCACTTCCACATCTTGCAACATTTGCTGGACGAATTGTGTGACATATATAGTATCCCTTTAACTTTATATAACTTTCATTTGTAAAATGAACTGTATGCCTCAGTAGACCATTAGAATTCCAAGCTATTAGTTTGGAGTCTTCTAGATATAGGTCTCCATGCAGCTCTTTAACTGTTACCTTCTAATTTTGACAGTCTATTCATAACATCTTTTTTTGAACGTGAGAAATTCGTACAGAACTTTTATGGCTGATCTATAATTTACCTAATCCAAGTGGGGAACAGATTTTATTATCATGCCGGTTCAACTTTCTAAAATTACTTTGCGAAGCCTCATTAAACTATGGGCGCACAATCCAACTCAAAACTTCTTTAGCTGGCCTAAAACTGAATGGCCAATTTACTTCGTTCTTAAAAGCTCTACTTATACATACGACTCCAGAAGCAAATGTCATCGAATGGTAATGGCTGATTATGATTGTTGTGGTTTATCAACTACTAATAAACATTAGCGATGCTAATAATAACGTTCGTTCGTTTCGACTAAAACAATTTATTGAACTCTTAGCATGGTAGTACTAGCGGGTTTTAAAAAGGAGTCAGTCTTGTTTATATATGTTTTTAGAGATTTTGTGTTTCATGGAAATACATGACACAATTATTTGCTTTTTATTACTATTTAAGCCATAAAGGAAAACTTTCATTGGATCATATGTGTTGGAATATCACGTTTTCGGAAACGAAGGTGTTTAGTTAGCGTCTTAGCACATATAATTGATATTTCTGATTTATAATAAATAAAATAAAAATGAAACTGTGAATAATCATTGTCTTTGCCTTTATCAGTATGTTCTCGGCTTTCCTATTCTTCATGTTCTTTATATTTTTCCATTTTTTGTAATATATTATTAAACAAACACCTTAGCCACTTTGTTTTTGTTTCCTCTAATATGTCAATACTTCTCCAGGAATACCATCTTCTCAAACTGAGTTATCTGTATTTAATTCCTCTATTGCTTAAGCAACTTCGTTTCTTATTTTGGACTCCATTACAGTTACTGCTTGTGATGTATCTACTAGGTGTTTGTAAAAATCTTCGTTTAATAAGCTATCAAAATATTTCTTCCAGTGAATTTTTAGTCCTTCTTCTATTCGTATTGCCTAATGTTTTTTTTTCAGTCGTTTCTACATTGGTCATGCAGATTTTTTATTGTCGCCATTCCAACGCATTTGGGGTGTTTCCCGTGGTCTCTTTGCTTTATAAGGTTGCCAGTTCCCTATTTCCCTATTCTATCTACCCTACTCAAAATATTCATTATATCCAACCTATTTCCACTTTAATTTGCTTTGGGTACTGTATTATACTTGTGTTGTATTCCGAATTGTTTCGCTGGTTATTTGATCTTTAAGTATTAACTCTAAATTTTTCTTATCTTCTTCATGTTTGCTTTAGTAAAAATGTCTATTTCTCAGCCTGCAATATGATAACAGAGTGGATACAAGAGTTGATCTCTTTGGTTTTAAGTCTTAGGGGTATATTTTTATCTTTCTTTATATGTGAAGTTTTTCCGAGCTCACCTAATATCATTCTTACTCCTGGATACATCTATCTGATTAAAATCTGCCTTTTTTGCTCTAGATTTGATTATTATTTTCGCCTTCTTTTGGTGTCAAATTGATGATATTCGCTTACATTTTAGCATTTGCTAGTTCCTGTTAATTGAATTGGATATTCCTTTTAAATTTTGATTTTATATTTTTTTGGAGCCGTACGTTCTACATGTAGAATTTGATGTAGGTGATACTTTTGCAGCGCTATCAACCATCTCATTTTTTGGATGCCTATATGAGAAGGCACTCATATTATTGGTATTGTAGCTCATCGGGAAATGTGGAGATGAATCAATTCTAATATTATTTACACCAAGTGATGTTCAGCGAAAATACGATGATATGATGATGATGATGATGATGTAATTGACGAACGATTGACACGTATACACAGTATAGTGACAATATAATAGGATGCTACCGAAGATGCTTTTTGAAAAACAGATCTAGCATTGATCACATTTCGTTTATCAGACAAATAGTAGAAAAAACAACGGAGTACGACATAGACTGCCATTACATCTTCGTCGATTTTAAGGTATCGTACGATACTGTTGACAAGCCTCTATTATATTTGGCCATGATTGAATTTAGAATACCAAATGGATTGGTAGAATTAATTAAAATGTTGTTTAATGTTAATTGGCATTAATTTATTTCAATAAAAGATGGTTTGAATCAATTACTCGCTTTAATTTACAATTTTTTATAAAAAGCAACCAACGACACAAGTCCAAAAGTGAAGTGGAGGGTAAGTAGAAACTGAATCCAAATTTTCATGCAATTCGGTGGTGACACAAAAAATTAAAATGTATCACCTTATTTCACGTTCATTTACTAGGCTATATCGAAACATATAATAAAAGACTCAATCAATTTGTAATAGAGATGATTTGTAATTGCAGATTTTCTTTGACAATATACAATAAGGTAATCTGCGTATAGGGCAAATTTTTGGGAGATTTGATGGTTAGTAATAAAAGCCTTAAACTCAAAACAGAACCTTGAGCATACCATTTTCAATAACATGTAATACTAATGAATAATAATACTCCATTAACTGTGAATGAATAATTTAATTTCAAACAAAACTATTGATTCGAATAGATTGTAGAGTTCGAAATAAACCATTGGAGTCGTTTATAGATTAAAATACTATTTAAAAAGGAAGAAACACATTTAAAAGCAGGTTTAAATTAATTTTTGCCAGCCTTTCGTAATTTATATAATATTGATTTTACCCGCCACTGATGATCATAGCATTTTGCGGTCGTTTACCAAGTAAAGAAAATCGTCCAATAACTAAAACTATTGTTTAATTTTTATATTGTTATTGTTTGTTTGTTGGTCTTGTTACTGTTTAATGAGTACGGTTTTTTATTTCATGAACTCGCATGCGGAATAGGTGAATATCACGATGAATGTTTATATGAAAACAGTTACTTGAGTCGGTGATGGCTTGGTAGGTGGTAGGTTGTGTTTTTGTTCACTAAATGTTCGTACGGGTTGTTTAATTGTCTAGTGCCGTGAAATAGAGTATGTTTTATCGTTAAAAAACGTTTTGAAGTGTAATATATCATTGAGGTAAGTTATTAACATAAGCATCTTACTAGATCCAGAAAAAGAATAAAAGTCATAACCTTTTAGATTCTCTAATGTACAATGTGGATATTAAACTGTAAAAAATGACAAGAAACAAAAACAAAACAACCTACGATTGGAAAACATATTCATGATTATTATCAGACTAAAAATCAATAGTGTTTGCTATACTTTGTTTTTAACCTTCGGGTAGTGGTTAAAAACTATACTAACTATAGTTTCTTACAAGTTTAGTTGCCCCGGTATCTTATTATAGCCCAGTCTGGTTATGCAAAAATTATCGATTGCACGTCAAAATTTTTCGCAGATATCTGAAGCATTCATAGGTGGGGGTTACTAGATGACGAAAAGATGAAAAATTACTCGTATTTTTACCTTGCGTTTTTTTAATAATAATTTATGGTCACAATTTGATTTTTTGTCAAAGTTTTTCCCTTATATTTTACATTAACAACTTTTATATCAAGAATATCTTTATTTTCTCGTTTTTTAAATTAAAATTGATAAAAAATTACGGAGATATTTGCAAAAAAGCAGTTTTTTGCACTAATTTATAAATTTTATTATTATTTTTTAACAAAATAAAATGTTTTTAATACATTTGAACATCGAGGCATTATCGTCTTTTAAATTTGTGCGAAATTTCTTCCCGATCAGTCAAATAGTTTAAAAGTTATTTAATATATTTATCCCTGAGGCTAAATATTTAAACTATTAAACTTGCTCTATTAATTATGCTAGATACATTTAGCAAATTTCATAGGATTCTTTAAGACTTCAACTATCTCAGAAGTTAAATGCATATTTCGTTTTCATCGAAATTATTTACAAAATAAACGTTTGAAAAAGGAGTATGCTTTGTACTTATAAACAATTATAATAACTTCTATATTTTTCAAACTTCAAAATTGTACGTACAACCATTGGATAGCTGGTAAACAAAATCACATTTAAAAAAATAAACCTTCTATGACCAATAGGAATGAAGTTAAGGACTATTTAAAAAAAATCATATCTCCATTGTTTGTACATCTCCATTGTAAGAATTATAATTTGCACAAATTTTGAATGACAATCTAAACTTTATATTGAAACTTATAGCTATAAAATTCATCCAATTTTTCGAAACTTACAGCCCTTCGAAACGAAGAAACTTTCGAAAGATCGGCATGGGAAAGTGGAGGGGAAATATGAATAACTACATAGTTTTCACTGGGAAACCTCGGAAAAATTGAGACCATTTGAAATTTACCGTAAAAACTTACTCTTTTTTAATTTGGCTGGAATAGTCTGTCGCAGTATTAATAATGATGACATAACTTTCATCCCCACCCCGGAAAATCAACATATATTTTTTTCATTTTATATCAATGATGTAATAATACTTATATATTTTATAAATTAAATTTCAGATAATTTTTTACACATTATATTATTATATTCCTTATATTAATTATAATTATTTACTACTTTCACATTCACATTTCACATCTATATAATAGAAAACCGGTAATATATTGTAGTATGCTTAAAAAAGGCGGGATGAGTAGCAGCTGCCACGCTCCAAAATTTCGTCAAAATAGTCCTTAACTTCGTTAGTATTGGTCATAGAAGGTTTTTTTTATGTGTTTTTTATCAGCTATCCAATGGTTGTACGTACATGTCCCAAGTACTCCAGCTTACGGCTCTTCACAATGTTGACCAAATCCGCGGTTGTGTTCATCCTCCGCAGTACTTCTTCATTGGTGACTTTGTCTGTCCATGGTATCTTCAGGATTCTTCTGTATAACCATAATTCAAACGCCTGAAGGTACTGCATGCTTGATATTAAAATGACATTTTTGCATTGCTTTGGGATATAAGAAACGATTGTGTTATTATCTGTAAAGCCAAACATGCTTGTATGGATTGGACGTTTAATGCGGTTTGAAAACTCGAGTGACAGTTCTGTTTTATTTTTTCTTAGCATTCCAATTGTAGTTATTTTGTAATCCCGAAGCAACTTTTTCACAAGTGCAAATGATGTAAACCAGTTATCTATGGTCAATTTAATGCTTAAACCAGAAATGTGTTTATATGGGCCATCGAGTTGGGATCCCACATAGACTTCCATTTTTGAAGTGTAAAATACTTTTGAATCACAAACTGCAAATATCTTGAGTCTGTATTTATTAGTTTTTGAGGTAATGTACTGACGGAACGAAAGCAGGGAGCAGCTCATCAATAATAACAAATGCTGAATGATTATAACCATTTTGACAATTTTTTACGAACTGGTCAAACACAACACGAATGGGAGCTACATTGTCAATTTTTGATCGCTCTTCACGTGTTTGCTTATCGTCAAACCTAATACAACGAAGAAGAAATAGGAACCTTTGTAAAATAAAAAAAAATTTATACCATAACCATCTTTCCTCTAAACATCTTCTGCGCTGGCACGATTACAGTGAGCTAGCCCAGATAAATACAAGAGTCCTATAAAATCACGGATTTCAATTTCATCAGTGAGATTAGCATTTTGCTCTCGCGAATAGTTTTCTTGAATAGAGACTACGTATTTATTTGTATTTTCCACATTGATACCAATTATCGTGCCAGCCAAGAAATAATTCTAAATCAATACAGCGTCATTTTTAGTACTTTTTGTAGGCCCTGGTAAGCCAATTATTATGTTATCCTGTCTTGTTCAAGTGGTTCTTGGCTTTGGAGGATGCTTCTTTCAGTGACTTGTACGGTTCTTGCCTAAAACAATAAAAATTTAGCATGACTTGCTAATACATATTCTATTTATTTAACTTACCTATATAGAAAAGTCGAGCAGACTGACGAACCGCAACTGTTTCATCTGCATCTGATATCTGATTCTGATTCACTGTCGTGATTTATAACTTCCTCAATGTCCTGTTCCTCTTCCTCTGATTCATTTCGCATGCTACTGATTCAATATCACTATTATCTAGTCCTACTTCTTCGAAAAGTTTCTGAAAGTAAGCTTGTCCGTGCTCGTAATCCCCCAATGTTAAAATGTAACAATCTTTTATTTAGAATTAGAGAAATGTACAAACATCTAAGAGCTTATCTCGGAATATTTTTGTAACGATATTAGTGGCGCCGGTCTGAGACACCCGAAAGCTTGTTTACTGTACTACACTATTACATTGAAATGGTCACACAACGACTATCCGACAGCGATACCTTTTTTCACTTTTTATGATTGGTTAACAAAAAAAAAACAAAGCAAAATCAGCTTTACGTCTTAAGCATTTTTCATCAGCTCACATACTTTTATATCCTTCAAAAACGTTTGTACAATTTTTTCAGCTTTTTTTATTTACTGGCCAATATTACATTCGTAACAAATATTTAAAATCTGTTTTAACTGCAAACTAACACATTTCGTGATGTTTTCAGGAGTTACTTTTATCAGATTTATATATTATATCGTGCACATATTGCACGCATATTGAAAAGATGATATGTGTCTATATTAAATTCACTAGTCTTTTCCAAGATTTGCCTCATTACGAAGATCTGATCTATTGTGGACTTCTGTCTGCAGAAACCACATAAACCTCCGCTAAAATCCCCCAACTATTTGTTCCGCATATGTATTTTATATGCCACAGTTAGTAGCGTTATTGTCCGATAGTTTTTACGTTGAAGCTGATCTCATTTTTTATGTAGTGGGATAATTACTCCGGTATTCCAGTCTTGTGGCAATTGTTTATTATTCCATATGTTCACTATTAGTTCGTGTATCGCATTCAATAGGGAGTCTCCGCCCTCCTTTATTAATTCTGCGCTAATGTTGTCTAATCCAGGCTACTTGTTGTTTTTCAGTCTGGTAACTGCTTCTTGCATTTCAGCTACTGAAGGGCGAGTTATTTCTCTGGTATCCGTTTGATCCAGTATATCCTGTTGAGTTTACTATATCTTTTTCTTTATATCTGCACGCCATTGTTCTTGGTTTAATTTTTTTTATATTTTTGTTAAGTTTTTGGTAGAATTTTCTGGTTTCTCATGGTTTATTTAGTTCTTCCATTTCTTGGAGTTCTTTTTCTATGTGTTCTCTTTTCTTTCTGCGATGTATTTTCTTCTCTTCTTTCCTAAGCATTCTTCCTCTGCCTTTCGTATTCTATGTCGTTGTTGTAGCCGTTGATATGCATTATTTTTCCTCTCTGTTATGTTACGACACTCTTCATCGAATCACTGTCCTTCAGTTGATTTGAACTGTTTTTGTATACCCAGGGTCTCTTTGGCCGCGTCTTGTATAATGTTTTTACAAGCTTACCATTCTCCGTTTATATCCTCGTGCTTTTGTCTGTTTTCTAGCCTTCCTTTTATATATTCTTTGTATTTTGCCTTTTTGCTGTTGTCTGCTAAGTTTTTTATTTCATATTTTTCAATTTTGGAATCCTTTTCTTTTTTAATGGTTGAGATTCTGGTTCTTATTCTACTTTCTACTAGGTAGTGATCCGAATTTGCATTTGCCCCTCGTCTGCTGCATACGTTTATTACATCTAAGTGATGTCTAGAGTCAATAATAACATGATCGATCATGTTTACTGTAACCCCATCTGGGGATATTCACGTTCCCTTACGAATATTTTTCCGTTGGAAGCATGTGCTGGCAATGACCATGTTAAGGGAAGTTGCTAGCTTTATTAGTCTGATGCCATTGTCATTGGATACCTCACGAAGATTGTGCTTACCTATAGTTGGTAGGTATTGTTGTTCTTTTTCTATTTTTGCGTTGAGATCACCATAAATAATTTTGATTTCTTTGGGCATGAATGGTATGCAACTTCTAGTTTTTCATAGAATTTTTCTTTGATATCGTCTTCCTTTTCCTCTGTAGGGGAATGCACATTTAAGATGCTATAATTAAAAAATGTTCCCCTTAGTCTCAGGATGCACATTCTATAGTTCATACCACTAAAGTCCCTTACGAGGTGTTTAACCTTTTTATTTACAATGAG